CTACACGAATATATATGTGAAGTATCGAGTAAGTCGTAGGAATCACATTCTTCTCCGAATGTTGCATAACGCCCACACCCAATTCTATCTTCGCTTAATTTCTTCAAATGCAGGGGTAATTTGGTAAGTTGAAAACTTGCGGAAAACTTCTCGGCAGAGAGCAAAGCGTGTTTAGCGTTGACCGATGGGTGACTTGGTCTTGTCTTCCGTTTTGAAATTTCAGTTCCCAAGATACCCTTTCCCATAAACGATATTACACACAGGCCCCTCCCCAAAACGACATTGTTCAGTGAGGGGTATAAATAGACCATAAACCGATCTAAAGAGGCTTCAAGCCTCATTTCTCTTATTTGATTCTCTCTCTAAAGAGATTGGAGCTCTCGCTTCTCACTAGAATTCCCTCACAGGAGGGAATTCGTCCCCGGCCGGTCACTGTACACCGTCGTTAGCCGTTGCCGTCGGAAAACATAAAAATACCCTGAAATATTTCTCTCTTTCCCCTAAAGCCTAAATCGAAAGTTATTTACCCTAAAAAGCCCTTAATCGAAGCAGATCTAAGGTTTATATCTTCGGCGTTTCGTCTTCTCCGGTGGCGCGTGGAGGCGCGTAGATGCTCCGACAATAGTAAGACTTCTCTCACTCTATTCTATATTTTTCTGGATTTTGGGAGGTTGCCTTCTTGCTTGTTGCTTTTTTTTGTTTCTATTGCAGGTTCAACCCTATTTATAAGGTTCTTCGAATCATTCTTTGGACCGGTTAAAAGACTGGACCCCGGTAGTCACCGGAGCTACGGTGGTGACTCACCCTAGGGGGCTGTGAGGTGTGCGGTGGAGGGACTGTGTGCATTAATTACACCCAGATCTCGCAGATCCGTCAAGGACGTGACAGCTCCTGGTTGGAGGCGACGGTGGCAAGGGCATCATCACTTCTATGGTGGCGACCGGAATAGCCCTAGGGTGTAATGAGAACCCTAGGGTTCTTGCTGGTCACGTTTAGGGTCGTTGGATCTCTCCAGATCCAACAGTTGAGATCTATGCGGCGCTGGAACCTGTGTGAAACCATAACCGAACTTGGATCTGGTTCTTGGGCCTCTTGGGCTACTCGAGTCAAGTCTGGGCCTGAACCAGGTCCGAGTCTGCTGGGATATATTGTAATCGGGCTTTGAGTTTAATGTGTAAATGGGCCTTCTGGTTGTAATTGGGCCTTCGGGTTTAATGTGCATTTGGACCTGTAAAATTGTAACAATTAATTATAATATAATAATAATAATAATATAATACTTATAACAAATCGGGATTCGGACGAAAACGACTGTCGACACAACGATCATAGATTAACCCGACCCGAATACAAATCGATCTGATTTTGATCTGAATCAAAAGTCAATCGACCCGATATCCTACCTGAATTGAATTTCCATTGACCCAAACTATACTCGAACCCGATATGATCCAATCCGAACCGAATCCAAATCAAATGCAATTTTAACTCGAAATAACCCAATTTGAAACCACCCGATTCGAACAAGATCCAAATGACTTGATTGCCATCTCTACACGAATATATATGTGAAGTGTCGAGTAAGTCGTAGGAATCACATTCTTCTCCGAATGTTGCATAACGCCCACACCCAATTCTATCTTCGCTTAATTTCTTCAAATGCAGGGGTAATTTGGTAAGTTGAAAACTTGCGGAAAACTTCTTGGCAGAGAGCAAAGCGTGTTTAGCGTTGACCGATGGGTGACTTGGTCTTGTCTTCCGTTTTGAAATTTCAGTTCCCAAGATACCCTTTCCCATAAACGATATTACACACAGGCCCCTCCCCAAAACGACATTGTTCAGTGAGGGGTATAAATAGACCATAAACCGATCTAAAGAGGCTTCAAGCCTCATTTCTCTTATTTGATTCTCTCTCTAAAGAGATTGGAGCTCTCGCTTCTCACTAGAATTCCCTCACAGGAGGGAATTCGTCCCCGGCCGGTCACTGTACACCGTCGTTAGCCGTTGCCGTCGGAAAACATAAAAATACCCTGAAATATTTCTCTCTTTCCCCTAAAGCCTAAATCGAAAGTTATTTACCCTAAAAAGCCCTTAATCGAAGCAGATCTAAGGTTTATATCTTCGGCGTTTCGTCTTCTCCGGTGGCGCGTGGAGGCGCGTAGATGCTCTGACAATGGTAAGACTTCTCTCACTCTATTCTATATTTTTCTGGATTTTGGGAGGTTGCCTTCTTGCTTGTTGCTTTTTTTTGTTTCTATTGCAGGTTCAACCCTATTTATAAGGTTCTTCGAATCATTCTTTGGACCGGTTAAAAGACTGGACCCCGGTAGTCACCGGAGCTACGGTGGTGACTCACCCTAGGGGGCTGTGAGGTGTGCGGTGGAGGGACTGTGTGCATTAATTACACCCAGATCTCGCAGATCCGTCAAGGACGTGACAGCTCCTGGTTGGAGGCGACGGTGGCAAGGGCATCATCACTTCTATGGTGGCGACCGGAATAGCCCTAGGGTGTAATGAGAACCCTAGGGTTCTTGCTGGTCACGTTTAGGGTCGTTGGATCTCTCCAGATCCAACAGTTGAGATCTATGCGGCGCTGGAACCTGTGTGAAACCATAACCGAACTTGGATCTGGTTCTTGGGCCTCTTGGGCTACTCGAGTCAAGTCTGGGCCTGAACCAGGTCCGAGTCTGCTGGGATATATTGTAATCGGGCTTTGAGTTTAATGTGTAAATGGGCCTTCTGGTTGTAATTGGGCCTTCGGGTTTAATGTGCATTTGGACCTGTAAAATTGTAACAATTAATTATAATATAATAATAATAATAATAATATAATACTTATAACAAATCGGGATTCGGACGAAAACGACTGTCGACACAACGATCATAGATTAACCCGACCCGAATACAAATCGATCTGATTTTGATCTGAATCAAAAGTCAATCGACCCGATATCCTACCTGAATTGAATTTCCATTGACCCAAACTATACTCGAACCCGATATGATCCAATCCGAACCGAATCCAAATCAAATGCAATTTTAACTCGAAATAACCCAATTTGAAACCACCCGATTCGAACAAGATCCAAATGACTTGATTGCCATCTCTACACGAATATATATGTGAAGTGTCGAGTAAGTCGTAGGAATCACATTCTTCTCCGAATGTTGCATAACGCCCACACCCAATTCTATCTTCGCTTAATTTCTTCAAATGCAGGGGTAATTTGGTAAGTTGAAAACTTGCGGAAAACTTCTCGGCAGAGAGCAAAGCGTGTTTAGCGTTGACCGATGGGTGACTTGGTCTTGTCTTCCGTTTTGAAATTTCAGTTCCCAAGATACCCTTTCCATTTTATAATAAAAAATATATACTACATAAAAGTCATACTTAATCTAGAAGTCCCCTAATTCTTAATTGAATAAAAAAAAGGCTCATGTTCAGAAAAAAAGTTGAAAAGTCTCTTATCTATATAATAATAATAAAAAATAAATAAATAAATAAATAAATAAATTTGCATAAAATGTTAAAATATATATATATATATATATATATATATATATATGAAGTTGGACATATTCTAATGGATGTTTATACTCTGAATATTATTATATTATAATGTAAACTAGATCACTGAATTATTTTTAAATAATTATTTTTATTATTTAATTTTTAAAGTTATAAAATGACAATCAAATTTATCAAATGTTTAAAAAATACTCATAAAATTTATCAAATTGTTATAACATGATTATTAAATTTTATTGAATTGTTATAAAATATCATTGCATTTATCATTTTTATGAATATAGTAATATTAATATGACAATTTTTAATAACTTAATCAATTTAATTATCATTTTATTTCTTTCAAAATTTTAATAATCAAAATGACCATTTAAATATATATATATATATTTATATATATATATTGACAGAAAGCCGCTAGTTTTATTAAAAAATAGAAAATATCCAGAATTATAATGAAGATTTACAAGCATAACGTAAACGTAAACAAAATTATAATTAGAATATTTTCTTATAATCATTAACACAAAAATTAGACACTTAGATCACAAAATGACCAAATAAGAAAAAAGTTGAAAAATTAACCAAAAAGCTCGAACAAAATGAAGATATGAACAAATCTGTCTGCATTGGCAAACGAACCACAAAAGGGGATAAATATACTGAAATTCACTGAAAAATCGCAAATCAGAGTCAAGCGATGTGAAAAAACTATTCACGAATGCAAAAAGCATATCCAAATCAATCTGAGAGTCCAAAGCAGGGAAGATCATTATGATAACAAATAAGAGTCATCTTGATCAATCGTGAGGATGTCAAATCCAACCATGAGCAAAAAGATAAATGAAAACAACAGCAAAAAAATCGTAAGTTACCAAAAGACAGAGAAAAACGTGTCACAAAAGCAAAGATAAACGTGTCATAAAGACAGAGAAACATGTCACAAAGACATAATTATTCTTATTAAAAAACTTAAAAAATAAAAAGATAAAAGATAACCGACGGATAGCAACCAGCATCAAAACCGGTGTCGTCTTCAGTTAAACAAAATTAAAGAAGAAAAAAATTGGATTGATCAATAAAATTGACACAAATTATAAAGAAAAAGAAAAAAAAAAGGAAAGAGAGAGAGAGAATAAATTCAGAGATAAACCTAAGGAAAAAGAGAAAGACAATATTTTAAATATAATTTAATACATCATAATTTACTCTATTTTATATTATAAGAATTTCCTTAGTCAAACTAGAGATAAAATCTACAATTATTATATAAAAGTCTTGATGTACTATTATTGTACAGAAGTCAAGACGTAGACAATAGCTTATTTCATTATAGAAAGACAAGTTTGGCATAGAAAATCCGAACGCAGCTTCCTATGTTCTTTACATCACCAATTTAAACCCGATCTCACACTTATTATATATTCCCCGCCCTGCAACTTAAAATCTCATTGAAATATTTAGTTGAAACGCCATGGATAGAGAGCAAGAAGAGATTCAATTTCTAGGTGTGTTTGGCATATTCAAGGAATCCTACAACATCATCTTTTCAAGAAGAAAAATCTTCACCCAGATCACTTTAGCTCTAATCCTTCCTCTCTCTTTCATCTACTTTCTTCATGCCCATGTTTCAATTCTCTTCTCAAAGAAATTCAACACTGCCAACTACGACAAACCATCCGATCTTATCTCCCATGAATGGCTTTACTTTTGGCTTTTCAATGTTGTATACGTTACTTTGTCTTTCATCTATTCGCTTCTTTCAACCGCCGCCGTTGTCTACACTATCGCCTGCATATATACAGGTCGGGAAGTCTCGTTCAAGAAAGTCAAGAGCGTTGTTCCCAAGGTTTGGAAGAGGCTGATGGTTACTTTCTTGTGTATTTTCGTTGCCATGTTTTTCTACCTCGTTGTATCTGTTGTCGTCTTCCTTATTTGGGCAGTTTCAGTGGGAGGAATACAAACCGTTGGTATTGCAGTGTTAGCCATTTTAGTGATTTTGTTCATCGTGGGGCTGCTGTATTTGACCACAGTCTGGCACTTGGCTAGCACCATATCTGTTTTAGAAGAGGTCTATGGGTTCCCGGCCATGGTGAAGAGCCAGAAACTGATCAAAGGAAAGCTACTGTTGGCTATATCCGTTTTCGTGATCATCGGTCTGGCGTCGGGATTCATCAGCCAGATCGCATTCAAGGGGCTGGTTGTGGAAGGAACCAGCATAGGAATGTTCAGCAGGGTTGTTTATGCAATCATTTGTTTGTTGTTGCTATCCACGACGATTCTCTTCGGATTAGTGATCCAGACAGTGATTTACTTTGTCTGCAAATCTTACCACCATGAAAACATCGACAAATCTGCCTTGTCGGATCACCTGGAAGTTTACCTGCTGGGAGAATACACTCGTTTGAAGACCGAGGATGTTCAGCTTTTCCATGTTTGATCGACTTGAAATAATGTAATGTAATACTTGTCGTTATGAATGGTGTTTTTGGCACCTCATCTATGAAACTAGTCTATTAAAGTCTATTACCATGTATTATATCTATGAGATAATTTTAGTTTCAACACAACCTAATAATTTCGATGAAGTTTCGTTGTTTATTTCAACTTCTGAGATGAGAACACATTAGGAAAATGATTCATTTTGATTTTGGTAGGAAAGGGGTAGCATTAAATTGCGGATGCGGTGTCCATTGCAGACACGGTTGTGGTGTCGCAGTTACAACTGTAGATGTTACGTAACATGTAACGATTGTTGCAGACGTGATTTATTTCTAAAAAATACATTATTTCTAAATCATTATATTTATATATGTTATATTCATATTTTAATATTCTAATATTAACTATTGTTAAATGACATATTCTTATAGTTAATTTTTAATTATTATATAGAGATGCGACATAAGTTAAATGTTTATTAATAATTAATATCATTTTTTTGTTAAGTCAAAGTATTCGAGTATTTTATCTATGTGAATTTATATTTCGAGCAATTTGGATGTTCGTTGTGGCATAGTTGCGGTGTTGCGGTATAATTTTTTTTACTTATTACGGTTTTAGACTACAAAAATTGTGATGCAGTTCTATTATCGCGTTACACTAATATTATGTCGTGATAACTTCTAAAATCATTACGATATGGCCGTTACATCGCGTTACGACCGTAATTTAATACTATGGGTAGAAGATAGATAGGATAGTATGTCCGGTGAAGATATCTCCATTAAATCAACAGCCTGAAAAGAATAACCGGATAACCCTTTAGTTATTGACAAGTCGCCGGCCGAAAAATCCCATAAGAGTTTATTGCCTCGAAGAAGTTGATTCAATTAATGCCATGGAAATGTCAACAATGAGCACGGTGGGAAGGTTGAAGGGAACTCAAACGGCCAAATTGAAGTAGAACTACTTAGGCGTGGGCCCCAGAATGACTAGAATGTTGACACATCCACGTTTGGTTGGGAGCAGCTGCCAAATAGAGAACTATTTGCTCCGCCAAAAGGGATTGAAGTTTCAACTGAAGTGGGCATTAATTCAACCAACATTGATGTCTCGGATGCTGAGGATCTATCTACCCCGTGCCCAGAACCAGGAGGATGTTGAAAGTTAAAAAAAAAGGTCAATTTTTGATGCATTAATGCACCGAATTTGACAGCAGTAAAATTTAAAATTTACTATTATAATTTAGTTGAAAAATTGGTATGAGAAAATTTTATTCATTTAGTCTTTGTAATTTAGGATATTTATAAGATTAGTCCTTAAGCTTCAGCTATAAATATTCTAACTCATTTAGCTTCAAAACTATCTCAAATCATTCTAGTTGTCTCTCAATACTAGAGAAATTAGAGAGTTTTCTTGGGAGTGATTTTCTCATTTTTATAAAGAGAGAATTGTCATTATTTTCTCCTTATTAGATCGAGAGAAGTTGTAACTCCTATTTTCCGATAGTGAAATTCTTCTACATTTGCCCGTGATTTTTACCCTATATTATTTAGGGGGTTTTCACGTAAAATTTGTGTCTTCTTTATCTTCATTTTTATTTTCTCAAATTATCTGTTGCGATTTTGCTCTATCCAAGTGAGAGCTATCTGTAATAGAAGCTATGACAACAAAATTTGATATTGAAAAGTTCAATGGGAGAAATGTCTCATTGTGGAAATTGAAGATGAAGGTCATCCTAAGGAAAGACGGTTGTCTAGTGGCTATCAGTGAAAGGCCGGTAGATTTCACAGATGACAACAAATGGAACGAGATGGACGGGAATGCTATGACAAACCTTCGTCTAGCATTAGCAGATGAAGTATTGTCAAGCATTGAGGAGAAGAAGGCAACCAATGAGATATGAGATCATCTCACCAAACTGTACGAGGCTACATCGTTGCACAATAAAATTTTCCGTAAAAGAAAATTGTATAATCTCTGGATGTCAGAATCTACTTCAGTGACGGAGCACTTAAACACACTGAACACTTTATTTTCTCAGCTTACATCCTTAAGTTGTACAATAGGAGAACAATAATGTGCTGAACTTCTACTTCAAAGTCTACCTGATTCGTATGATCAACTCATCATCAACTTGAAAAACAGTAATGTCACCAGTCTTATCTTCGATGACGTTGTAGCTGTAGTTCTACAAGGAGAAAATCGTCGCAAGAGTAAGGAATACTGACAAGTAAATATGCAACAAGAAGAAGCGTTGACAACATTGAGAGGGAGATCAATAGAACGTGGCCAAAGTAATAGTCACAAACATTGTAGATCAAAGTCGAGAAGCAAGAAGAATTTAAAGTGCTACAACTATGGAAAAAATGGTCACTTGAAGAAGGATTGTTGGAGTCTAGGTAAAAACTCTAATCCACAAGACAATACCACAAACACTTCAGATGATGGAGATGTTCCATGTTGTGAAGCGTCAACCATGGTATAAGGTAGAAAGATGTTTGCAGATATATAGTTCATTGATTCGGGAGCAATATATCATATGATCTCAAGAAGAAAATGGTCCCATCATTATGAACCTGTCTCAGGAGGATCTGTGGATAGTTGCAATTACCATGCCTTAGAGATCGTTGGCGTTGAAACCATTAAATTGAGGATGTATGATGGAACAATTAAAGTTGTTCGAGATTTGCGGCACATGAAAGGCCTGAAGAAAAATTTATTATCCTATGGGTTGTTGGATAATAATGCAAGCAAGATTGAAACGCAAAAAGGAATCATGAAGGTGTTCCACGGAGCGCTTGTGGCGATGAAAGGCGAAAATATAGCAGCAAACTTGTACATACTGAAGGGAAAGACTTTTCTAGAAGAAAAAGCCTCTGTTGCCTCATATAGTTCAGATTTTGTAATGCTATGACAACAGAAACTTGGACACATGTCAGAACAAGGAATGAAAGTCCTTGTGGAGCAAAAGCTACTTCCAGACTTAACAAATGTATCACTTACTTTGTGTGGGTATTGTATAACAAGTAAGCAACACAGGTTAAAATTCAACACGTCAAATTCTAGAGGCAAAAGTGTTTTAGAACTAGTTCATTCTGACGTATAGCAAGCACCAGTTACATCCCTAGGCGGAGAAAAGTACTTTGTCTCATTTATTGATGACTAATTCAGGAGATGTTGGGTATACCCTATTAAGAAAAAGTTAGATGTGTTTTCAACTTTTAAAAACTTCAAAGCGTGTGTGGAACTTGATTATGGAAATAAGATCAAGTGTTTCTGAACAGATAATGAAGAAGAATACACAAGTGAAGAATTTGATGACTTTTGCAGAAAATAATGCATCAAAAAACATTCACAGTGGCATACAATCCTCAACAAAATGGAGTGGCAGAGCGGATGAACAGAACCTTGTTGGAAAGAACAAAAGCAATGTTAAGAGATGCAAGCCTAGAAAAATCATTTTGGACAGAAGCAGTCAATACTACCAATTTTTTGGTGAATAGAGCTCCATCAACTACAATAGAGCTTAAGACACCAATAGAGATGTGGACTGGTAAACCAGCTAATTATTCAAAGCTCCATGTATTTGGAAGTATTGTGTACGTGATGTACAACTCCCAAGAAATTTTAAAGTTGGATTCAAAATCCAGGAAATGCAAATTCTTGGGGTATGCTGATAGAGTAAAGGGGTATCACTTGTAGGATCTCACTGCCCTTAAAGTGATCATCAGCAGGTATGTTATCTTTGTAGAAGATAAACTACAAAGAAAAGAAGAAGACGGTAGCACTGAAAAGTCAGAGACTACACAGATACATGTAGAAAAAAAGTTTGAACAAGGAGATTTTTCTAAAGCAGAACCAACACATGATGAACAAGAACCAGAGAGTTCTGAAGTTCCAACAACTCGTCAATCAGATCGTGTGAAAAGACGTCCCAATTGGCACTCAGATTTTATTATAGAAGAAAATATTGCATACTGCCTTTTAACAGATAACGGTGAGCCATCAACATTCCAGGAGGCAATAAACAGCTCAGATGCTTTACATTGGATTATGGCAATGCAAGAAAAAATTGAAGCCCTTCATAAAAATAATACATGGGACCTTGTGTCACTACCACAATGAAGGAAGTCATTTGGTAACAAATGGGTCTTCAAAAATCAAGTGAAATGGTAACGATCAAGTGGAGAGGTATCGTGCAAGACTGGTGGTCAAAGGATATGCTCAAAAATAAGGTATTTATTTCAATGAAATCTTTTCTCCTGTGGTTCGACTAACAACAGTTCGAGAAATCTTGGCAATGTGTGCTACATTGAACTTACATCTAGAGCAACTAGATGTTAAAACAACTTTTCTTCATGTAAATCTTGAAGAAGAGATTTGCATGCTCCAGCCTGAAGGTTTTGAAGAAAAAGAAAATAAGAACTTGGTTTGTAGGTTGAACAAATCTCTTTACGGTCTAAAACAGGTTTTGAGGTATTGGTATAAGAGATTTGATTCCTTCATTGTGTGCCTTGGATACAACAGACTTAATGCAGATCCTTGTGCTTATTTCAAGAGGTTTGATGATAATGATTTTGTTATATTGCTATTGTATGTGGATGACATGTTGGTTGCAAGCCCCAACAAAGATCATATTGAAGAATTGAAGGCACAACTGGCTAAGGAATTTGAAATGAAAGACTTAGGATCAAAAAATAAGATTCTAGGGATGCAAATTCACTAAGAAAGAAGTAATAGGAAGATTTGACTTTCACAAAAGAATTACTTGAAGAAGATCTTGTCACGATTCAACATGCAAGATTGCAAGCCAATTTCTACCCCTCTTCCTATTAACTTCAAATTATCCTCCAGATGAGTCCTAGATCCGAAAAAAAGAAGATGGAGATGTGTCGAGTACCATATGCATCGGCAGTGGGAAGTTTAATGTTTGTTATGATATGCACAAGACCATACATTGCACAAACAGTGACAGTGGTTAGTCAGTACATGGAG